ATTCCAGCGCTGCCCTGCACATGGCCACCAGCAGATCTACCACCTTAGGAGAAAGAAGAGGAAGGGAGCAAAAGCAAGATGATACCCTAAAACTAGGAGTCACAAAGTACTCAGCATAACTCTACCTTCTGGGATCTCTGAAGTTTTCTTCCTGATGTTAATTTTCAAAGGAAATTATGTTTGTGGCTTTTTAATTTAAAAATGTAAGCTTATTTTTTTAAATTTTTTTTTCTTGTCATCCTTGCACAAGGACCATGTTAATCTTCTCGTTATCGTTCCAATTTTAGTATATGTGCTGCCGAAGCAAGCACAAAATGTAAGCTTATTTTTAAAAACTCAAGTTATATAAACCTATTATTGTAGAATGAGTATAAAGATCGAAGAGGGGTGGAAGAGGGTGGAAATAGAGGGATGAGGGGGGGATTAATCATGGAGTTGTATGATTTGATGGGTGGGGAGTGAGAGAAATTGAAAGAATCTATGAATTTTATAAATAAACTAGTATAAACATTTTTTAAAAATCAAATTAAACAAAGCAATTAAAGAAAACAAAAATAAAAATCAACCCTCTACCTCCAAACCAAACCAATCTCATTCTTCTTAACTTGTTAAACTTGATAAATAGCCTTCCGGACATTTTTTTTTTTTAAATAGTTTTTTTTTTTTTAAAACTGTACTATATATACAGCATTGAGGACTCTCCTTCATAGGGTCGACGGCACTTAACAACTACATATACACACTATTTTCTTTCCTTTTTTACATAACTATAAAATATATTTCTATAAATAATAGTCTTACAATATTTTTACTATAAAGAAGCAGTGATGGAGTTGTGTTCACTTTTCAAGTTATAAACAGATGCTTTTAAGTATAAAAGCATTTTTGTAGGTTAAATTTCAAAGGGTTAAACTGTTGAGTTCCTCTGTTTTTCTTGATCCCAATTCCCTAGTCACCACGCCCTCTTCCAAACCTCTGCTCCAGTGGCCACCTCCTCTGCAGCTCCAGACATGACTCCCAGTGTGTAGAAGGAGAATACACACAGTTCTCGAGTACACACAGCTGG